TATCAAAGTAAAAGCACAAAACAACTTTCACTTTCACGCATCAAAAAGGGCCAAAATAATCCAATCTGTCAACTGATGTTTATGTTTTGTTTACGAGTTAAAATTGATGTTACTTGGAAGGAAGAAAAACTTATAAACAAAGTCATGACTCAGACCAAGATTGATTTCACCGAGACCATGGCGTCATGGCCAAAAAAACCTCGATCAAAACTCGGCCCTGCTTGTGAATCCACACAGTCAAATGCCAAAATTACTCACGCATTATAGAAGTGATGACTGCGGTACAAGCATATAACTAATTGTATATATTGTAGCAGAGGAAAATGAAGCCTACCCTTAGACCAACTTTGAAACATCTACCTATTCTCTCCACGTGATATGAGGCAGCAATTTGGATTAGAGCCCAATGCCACACACACATGGGAACTAATGATTCAGATATCACATGCCAACATGCTGTAAATCAAGTCTACAAAGTCGGGAAAATGAGGTATGCGATAGACTTACCTCCTCGTGGTGCACCCTGGGCAACATATACTCATATGGCCAAAAAGTCAATTAACCGGCAGTTGACTTCTCACTTCAAACTACCATCACCTCACTACATGACATATTCGACTATTTCCATAGTACTTACCTCACCGTTTTTCTACTTCTGTGTCTGTCTCTTTTACATATTTGAAACACTCCTCTGTTCCCCCCCCCCCCCCCCCCCCCCCACCCCCTCGAGTTATTTTTTCAATTTGATGTTCCTTCCCCTCTGTGAAGCCTGAAGTCAACTAAAGGGATAAAGATAGCCATCAAGACGCCTGCCATTTGATATAATAAAAGTGTCGGGAAAATATAACACACGACTCAGTTTCACCATCACAAATAATAGAAGGATCTGTGGCAAGAGTATTCAAGCTGATTGCGAGGAAATGGCTAAGAGGAAAGGCAAGAATTGTTCATAGAAAATATCAACTCTTACGAAGGGCAAAAAGAGGATTAAAACGTCATCAAAGTGGAATGAGGTGATAAAAAAGTGGTGAAATGAGCGCTCTCAATTGCAAACAGAATAGGAGGCGCGATGGTTCAAGAAAGAAATATCAAATTACCCAAATCTAAGATTGGGATGACATAAACTATGAACACTAATGGAATATATTTTGTCAACCTTATTTATAAGTTCCTGTGAGCACTAATTCTGAAATCTATTTAAGTGAAATGTGTTCAAGACCACTCCTTCAACGAGAGTCTGCAAAGAGACTGGAAGGGAATGGGTACTAAAATCCTGAAGGGGATTTCTAGTCATAATTGCATGAAAAAATGTTATATATATGGGGAGTTAAATAATCAAGACAAGAGAGGAAGAATAGAAAATAGTTCGAGTATACACTCGTGTATATCAAGAAGGTGAAACCGGTCAATCACAGACAGCCTTAGGTTGCAGTAGAGAAAACAGCGGACGTACACACAGAAAGAGAGGGAGAGAGAGGAGGTGAAAGGGAGTCACGAGATGGGGAAAGGGAGGGATTTAGGCGTGTGGAAAAGGAGTCACCTATTTCCACCCCTTCCAACGCACAGATGCAAAGGGGTGTAGTCAACCAATGAAGTAAGACCAAGGTTCATACAACGCACCATGTGTATGCGCGTGTGTCTATACACACACCCAAAAAAGCAGGCATATAGTGGAAAAGGAGGAGGTGGAGGAGGAGGAAGAGTGGGTGAAAGGGAGACTACTAGCTTTCTAGCTAGCTAACTGGGCGTTGGACGTGTGGGCTGGTAGATGTTGCAGCTTTTTGCCCCTGTCTTGCCTGTCTGCAAATTCTACTGCCGCTGCTACCGCCAGACCAAGTAACTAGTAGCAGTATCTGAAGCCAAAGGGGCATTAATAAGTGCGCGTGGTCAGCCAGATAGGGAGAGTGCGTGTGCAAATGAATAATTTCTCCCCTTCCTCCACTTAAACACACAAATAGAGGAAGATGTTGAGGCGCAAATACGCCCCTTTTGAAGTAGATATTAGTGGTCGGCATATATATATCATGCCAAGGGGAGGAGGGGCGGAGAGGGTGGGGGAGGGATTCAATTATTTAGCAGGAAGGAGTTATAAGAGAGTCCTAGGCCTTATTGCAACCGTCAAGTCCACTGAAGGCAAGATCACAAGTCAACCCCATGACCAGAAATGGGATTATATAATCGTTGATCTCAATGAGCAAATTCCATAAGCAGTTAGCATTCGAATCACTGCGTATTCTGCGATGGTTGGCGGAATTAATGTGCATAAAACTAGATTCTTAACCCAGTTCCGGTGGTTGTGCATCGATGAGTTTTAACTTACCGCGGCCTCGGATATGGCCGTGTAAGTTGATCACTGTGCCCAGGAGCACACAACTCCCATTTCATCGTTTTCTTACTCACCGGAAAGAGATGTTGGAAATAGACGTATATGATTTTGCAGCGACTAATAGTAATACTCTATTTTACATACACCAAACACACACACACACATAAAATCTAATTGAAAAGGATGAGGAAGTTTCATGGGAGTTAGCATAGCCATAAGTAATAAATTTACTGGAGGAGTGAAAGACTTCTGAATTGCAAGTGGACTTTCATAAATTAGAGCACTTTCATGGTTTAAAAAGAAAAAGGGCATTAACATCAGCTAGAGCTAACATTCAAAGGCCATTAGATGGTGGATGTTGACCAATTTCATGAAAGAAGATAAGGAGTAATTTGATTTGACCTAGTCACGCGTATACATCTGCAAAAGGGGAAAAGTTTATAAATTGAAGTAGACACACACCTCTTGAGTAGCCGCAGAGCTGGTTAGTTGGAGGGACTAGCAACTGATTCAGTTGTGCTCAACTGACGTTTAGAAGCCCAAAGCTCATTAACTGAAGGGATGATGGAATTTGAATTGGCAAGAGGGAAATCTGCCCATATTGCTTCTACCGACAACTCCCATTTAAACAAAACCTTCTGTAAGTGCACACACACCATTGAGTTATAAATGTAGACGAAATCGTTGATTGCTGTTACGTTGTAGCTGTTCGAATTAGGGGGATGGAAAGGGTCCACAAAACGTTGGCTCTCTAGTAGCCTTTGCTTGCTAATGAGAAGTTCCCTTTAATAAGACAGTGAAGCACACAAATTGTCATTTTCTGCTAAGCAAAGGTAGCTTTGATGGGTTACCTAAAATAATGATTTTGTTCGCGTGGATATTTATCCAAATAGGAGGGATCTCTATTCACAAGACGATTAAGAATCATCCTGAAAAATGGTAATCTGGCTGGGTATATATAGTGAAGCTTACCATGAGATAAGGACAAGCACGCATAGCTGTAAAGGGAGGATAACTTTGAAGAAAATTTTCAAGCACTTCTATACTTCAGAGATAATAATAATAATAATCGATTTTTGGTTGAGAGAATTGAATTAACGTTGGCCGTCACCACGAAGAGAGTAATAGAATTCACAATACTAACTGTGGGACAAGGACCATGGTTTAAAATCTCATAGTTTGGCCAACATTAGTCACCTGGTCATATCATAAACCGGATGTACACGTTTAAAGATTAAAAGGGAGAAATCAAATTCACTTTTCGGTCAGTCAACATTGAAACACAAAATTACCAAACGATAACAAAACCATGCGGGCGTAAAATTTCTACCAGTTTGAATAATCATGGCCGATAATCGAGGTAAGATAGATACAACCAACGAGTCCAATAGGATACGATAGGATGAGTCAAAAAGACAAAAATTGATAAATTAGTCCTGCTTTAGGTGAATTCTAACCACACTAGATTGGCCATATTTGCATATCAAATTCATCGTATAACGCGTTAACATCCAAACTTAATACATTATGTTGAAGTGAAAACCTAGTGACTGGTTTGTAATACCGAATTGATTCATTTGCACAAGCCTTACATGTCCAAAGACAGGTGGAATGGAAAGGTTTCTTTTGAACCAAAAAATGTCTACCCAGAGTTCACTAAAAGTGTACAGTTGACAATTTGATGACGTTTCATCTTCTTTCACGTCTGAAAAAATAAAACAAATAAAAACGCAAAAAATACCCGTAGGGCCATAAACGATCAATTTTTAGATATGAACTTTATCTAAAACGATGGCATTTAGAAATTAGAACAATTAGAAGGCCGTGAAGATAGTAAAATGCAGTTGGGATTTTGCTGCGGAACAAGTTGAAAGAAACTGAAAATAGCCCCCCTCAACTGAGCACACGCACAACCAATTTGATCATTACTTTAACCGCCAATGATGATGATGATGGCCTCTCAATTCGATAATACCACTTTTCAAAATAACAGCACTCTAGTTAATTGTAATTACTTAATATGTAATTTTTAAAAACCCAGTCAAGATGGTCCATCAAGACGAGAAGAAATCAACGACTTGAAGAAAAAATTGCATAAAATAGGGAAGTGCCAAAACCGATCCAAGAAAAAATAAGATCCCCATATTTGGCCTTTGAAAAGCGCCAGCAAATCGATTAACTCTAAGATGGAAAGTAGCGAAATGAGACGATTAATCGATTTTGGGGAAAATTCTAGAAGTTAGGTTACCTTACGGGGTCAAAATAATAGATGAGTTCCGAGAAGCCAGATCAATTAGATAAAAAGGTGTAAGACTTTCTTTCGTGAATACTGATGTTTAGCAATGACCAACGTCAAGGCCAAACATTACCCGAAAGAAGAGCTGTTAAATATCTTCAGTCATGACACAGTTTTACCACAAGGAGACAATAATCGCAATGATAGTAACATGGTAATTTCTGTGAAACTTCATTTCTAAAGACACTGCGAATAAGAAAAAAGGGAATGTAAAACCGTACTATGACTAACAAATCCATACATGAACAGGGAACAATGAGGAGTAGAAAGAATCCAAAAAAATCAATTTTAGATGGGTAAAAAAGTCGAGACATCATAAGTTCTGATTTTTGACAAGAAAAGTATTAAAGGAATAATCAAAATATAGCTATAAATAGCTTACTTTCTAGCAAATGCCTTGGTACATATTGAGCAGACATGCGGTTTCTCTTGTGTATGAATGGACATGATATGCCTTTTCAGTTTATCCTCTCTAACAAAGCACTTCCCACAGGCCTCACAAACATGTTTCGCTTCGGCTGCTGACCTTTGTCTTTGAAGGATGAGCTGTTGCACGGAGACCACAGCTCCACAATTTGGGCAAGAGAGGCTACTCAATCCCTCAGCACTCGCTTGAGTCAACGACGTTAGGAGTATCGCATGGGTACAGGGTTGAACAGTGGGCGTAGAAGCTGAAATCGTGGAATCTACTAGGGACACTGCTTCAATTTTGCCTACAGGAGCTAGACTGAGTGAGTAGAGCCGGTCAGTGCCAGTACCAATTAAGGCTGGATCATAGGGAGCCGATGTTGAGGGAGCTTTGTTCCCTACCAAAGCGGAGACAACACTGTCAACTGCTGCTATCGCGGCCGCAGCATATTCTGCGTCGTCATACATCGGTGATAGGCCATTCTCTTCCTCTCTTTTCGCAGCCGAAGTAACACAACCTGTCGATGTGGTTGCAGCAACAGGGAGAGAAGCGGGAGGGGACACCGTGGAGGGCGTATCATGATCAGTCAACTTGTCTGGGAGAGTGGGCGTAGAGAGCTCTTTGGGGAGATCAAAACGAGAAGGAGGAAATTCAGGTTCCTGCTTAACAATCGGAGCAACTTCACTCTGATCAACAGAGGTTGCTAAGCGTGAGGCGACGTTTTCGAGAAGAGCACGCTGATTATCAGTATTATTTGCTGTTGTAGTTCCGGGAAGAATGGGAGGAGTTACCAGTCCTGATGGTGAGGTAATATTATGGTCCGTAACGGTAGGAGCCCCATTTAAATAGCCATTTTTAACTTCGGCAGTTTGCAATGGCTCAGGAAATGAAGGTGATGAATTACTATCCATCACCTTTTCGGAGTAGGTTTTTTGATCAAGATCATGAAAGTTGATAAGTGACTGATGATGGTTTTCATTCAAAGGATTGTCATAGTTTCCACAAGAGCTAGGTTTTGTAGATGTAGAAGAAGGAGTAAGTTCCAGAAATGAAGGTTCAATCATTTTCTAATATTCAAATAAATATTGTTTTTTTTCTAAAAAATGCACAAAATAAAAGGAATAATTAAAATTATAAAATTAAAAACAAACAAAGAATTATTTTCAAGGGACATTCTAATCAGTAATAGAGGAAGGAGCTATTTTTAACAAAATAGTCAGAAACATGCAGCAAATTTTATCAACTAAGGAAAAATATAACGAACACACACGACGATGAACCCCATCAACGGCCAACGCCCTAGATTATTCAAGATATGCACAGCTTACTCAATCACGTAAAAGTATTCACAAAACACTTGATAGCTAAAAATTTTGATTTATAAAAAACTTATGTGCTTTTTACTTACTTTTAATGGATTATAAAGATTATAAAAGATTATTAATAGGCGCGTTAAAATTTAAATTTTATGTTAAACAAAAATAAAACAAATATGTATTATTACTAAATATTTTAAAATTCTTTGTTTTTATTGAAATAAGCTCTTTGTTTATGCGCATTAATGCTACAATAGACAACTTTAAGCGGTATTTGTGGTAGAATTTTTATGGTTTTCTATCATTTTTTATTATTATGTTATTTAACAACAAACTTTTTTACTTTAATCTATTTTATTTGATCTTTAGGCATTTATGTTTATTTATTGATTTGGTATTATATGTTTCATAGTTATGCTGAAGCTAATCGAATCGCAGCTTGGCGTATCAGTTTCAATCAAATTTCTTGACGCAAATAAAATTAATTCGACTTCAGTTATGCATGACTTGACAAACAAACTTTCGAATGATGAATCAATTTTATTGGGGGGAAATCCTCTTCCTCTAGACGAAATAATAAATTTTTCTGGCGTTGAAAATCAACTTGAATTAGAATGTGGAGCTACAAGATCTCGCTTTTTCAACTTCTCCGATTACAAGCTTATAAAACCAAAAGATCTGCCGTAAGCTGAATTGTGGTTTTCTCATCGAAAATCGTTTATAACATATTTTGATGTCGTTATTATTTTTTACATTTTCCTTAAAACTTAAATTTGTAGGAAATTTTTTATTTGCTTTGACCCATACGTTTTTATAGCCATTATCTCTTTTTAAAACTCATTTTCACTATCAATATGTGTGTTTTATGATCTTTTTTGCTAATTTAATGTGCTCTGAATACTTCACAATCTCTATGCATTTTGACCATATCGCTAATCTTTAGTTTGAATTGTTTATCTATTAGCAAATCTTTTATATTTTGCCAACAAATTTACCCCTAGAAGCCTCCGTTGTATTTATAGGACTCGTTTTGATGTTTTTCATTTTTTTATGCAATAAGGCGTTTAATTTCCCTTGACTTTATTCTGAAATGCTCTTTCTATCTCTTAGTTTTCAACGTAATCGTTTTTTATTTTGTCTTAATTTTCTTTTAGTAACTTTTATTCCACTGTTGGAGAAGGTGTTTTACTACCAGTTTGTGGATCTGGTAATTGTCCTCCACAATTAGTAGCTCTCCTTCCCGGTTCTTCACCCAAAACTCGTCGTGTTCTTCGTCTCTTCACTCTTCCAAGTTTGTTTTTGCAATTTAATAAATAATAAATAGTATTGCGCCTTCTTTTATTATTTTTTTCTATTTAGTTGTCGATAAAACTGTAAAATTGAATCAACTTCGATCGCAATATATGCCTTTTTGTCGTAAGGTTAACGTTTCTTATGAAGCTTATTACGACATATTTTTCACTCGTCTTCACATGAAATTTACCAAACCTACCTCTGGGTTACTTTCCCCTCCTGATAGTTCAACTTCTGTTCGTTTGGTAAGGCTCTTGATCATCTGCATCTTCTCCTAGATTACCAATATTTTACCTTATTCGACTGAAAAATCTCCTCTCAGTCAAATCAAGTCAGATCTGGATCGAATCAAACGTCTGTTTTTGGCTTTCCAAAATGAGGATTCTTGGGTGCCGTTAGAAAATCCGATTTTGCAGTCCGATTTAGAAAAAGTTATAGCCATCCATCTTAACAATGGTAAGGTTATTATCTTAGAAAATGATGAAATTTTGTCAGTTGTTTAAAATTCTATTGTTCAGAGCAGTAGATTTCTTGGTCTTCATTCTTCACCTTGGTATTGTAGACTCGGGTTGCTTGTGATTCTTAGGTAATCAGCTAGCTTTACTCTTTGTGATCAGCAATATGCCTTAGTTGTAATGTTTATACCTGCCAAATTTTAATTCTCTTTATAAGCCTCCAGCTCTGCGTATTCAATGATTAAATTAGCATCGTGTATGTTATATTAGACCTCTCTTCTGTCCAAAATAGTTAATTAAAGGGTCCTCTTCCAAAGTATTAAGAGAGTGGACGTCTTGACTAGATCACATTGGAGTATGTGGTGCTAATTACCATGAATCACTTGAAGGCGCAACTACTGATTTAGATTACCAACCGCATTGATTAATTCCATCTGACACACTTTAATGGTATATAACGATTTTCTCATAATAGCCTTTCTAAGGCACCTTTTCTCTCATTTCTTTTTCCCAGTTTTTTTCTAGTCATTCTTTGTTTCTTTTAGAAGGACTTCGTCATCAGACAAGAGATTTAGATATCTCAGAGCATTTATGGGAAGCTCTCAAAGATGCTCCAAATCGTCGCGTTGCTCGAGAGGGTTTCTTAACAGCCCTCCGACTACTTCAAGAGAAACCGGATTTTTTGACTGTGAGTAGTTCGAACAATAGTTTCCTTTATGGCTTCCCAACAATTTGGACTTGTTTATTTTTTGAAACGTTTTTTTGGGAAATTTATCATTTTAACGGCATTTTCCAAGTTGTTCGTTTTTTTTCGCAGAGCGATTTATATTTGATATCTCTGTGCTAACTTTTGATTTGCTTACTTTATTCAATGGATGGTAATTCTATGTTGAAGAATAATAGTTTATATAACATTATAGTTTATACTAATTCCCTTCATTTATTAAATCATTATCATGTTTTGCTTTGTGATCAACCAGTAATTTTTCGTTTAGGTTAGTCTCTCAAACTTCACACAGTTTGTAAAACTCGCCCGTTCTCACATTATGTCAGGTCGAGGAGAAGTGAATACATTTGACGTACAAGGTCTTCGAATGCTTATTGAAGTGGGTATATTCAAAGTCACTAATGATTGCATTGCGGCTATTCAGGGAGGTATGCTTCCGACATTAAAACTATCATCTACTAGCGTTATTTAAGTAGCGTGTTATATATATATATTCTTGCTATTTAGTTACGCCACATGTGGATGTGGGATGT